CTGCTGCTGCTGCTGCTGCTGCTGCTGCTGCTGCTGTTGCTTCTGCTGCTGCGCTGAAGGAAGCAGCACCAGGCTGAGGAGAATGTGCACGCAGCAAGCTGCCTATGTCTACGCTGTTGCTGCTGCTGCTGCTGCTGATTCTGCTGTCAGCAGCAGCAACTGCAGCAGCAGATGTGTTGCAGCTAGACAAATGCTGCTGCTGCTGCTGCTGTTGCTGCTGCTGTTGCTGCTGCTGGCTGCTGCTTTGGCTCGCCACCGAAACTTTCTGCTGCTGCTCTGGGAGCAGCAAATGTTGGAGTTGATCTTCTCTCCTCTGCTGCTGTTGCTGCTGCTGCTGCTGCTGCTGTTGCTGCTGTTGCTGCTGCTGTTCCTGCTGTTGCTGCTCTTCTTGCAGCGTACGAGACTGAGACCGCCTGAAGGAAGACACAGCAGCAACACAAACAGCAGCAGCAGCAGCAGCAGCAGCAGATTAGTTTCTGCATTCTTTGACTCGGCAGCAGCCCCAGGGCCTCCACGGCTCAGCTGGCTGCTTGCTGCTGCAGCAAATGCAGCAAAAGTGAGACCTAATGCAAGCAGCAGCAGCANAGCAGCAGCAGCAAATGCATCAGGAAGAATAAACTGTACCTGCGGCGGAATACTCTGAACAGAGCCTTCATTTTGTCGGGTGTAGGAGGTCAAGCTGTAGCAGCAGCAGCAGCAGCAGCAGCAGCTGCTGCTGCTGCTGCTGCTGCTGTGGGGCTGCTGGTGATGTACCCTCAAGGCTGCGCTATGCGCAGCAAACAGCAGCAGCAGCAACTGCAGCAGCAGCAGCAATAACAATCACTGCAGCAGCAGCAGCAGCAGCGCGAGACACTGGACCGGCTTCGAGCCGCAGCAGCAAGCAGCCGGGCTGTGCTGCTGTGGCTGCAGCAGCAACAGCAGCAACAGCAGCAGCTGCTGCAGCTGCAGCAGCAAATTGAAATATAAATAAGAAAACAACCAACGGGTATTAGCTGCAGCACAAAGAGCAAAGGTCTATGGATCTGCTGAGCATCGACGGACGCTTGTGGCTGCCGTGCTGCTGCTGCTGCTGCTGCTGCTGCTGCTGCTGCTGCTGTTGCTGCCACGAGACAAGAACAAGTGCAGAAGAAAGAGAAAATAAAAAAGCTACAAAAAGACTTATTTAATTAAAGTTGACGAAGTACAATGCTGCTACTTCTGCTGCTGCAGCCGAGCGTCGATGCAGCAGCAGCACCAGCAGCAGCAGCAGCAGCAGCAGCAGCAGCAGCAGCGGACGGCAGCGGTCCAGGCGCGACCAGGCCAGGCAGGCAGCAGCAGCAGCAGCAGCAGCAGCTCTCTGCTGCTGCTGCTGCTGCTGCTGCTGTTGCTGCTGTCCAACTGTTTTTTATAATAAATTAATAATTTTTTTGTTGTTTTTTGTTGTTTCTTTAATTAATTAAAATATATTTTGCTGCTGCAGCAGCAGAAGACTACTCATTTTGCTTGCTGCAGTGAATTTGCTGCTACGCTGCTGCTGCTGCTGCTTCAATATGAAGATAAAGAAATAAATTAAAATTAAATTCTCGCGTTTTGTATT